TGCCTCTATCTCACTGGGGTTTTGCTCTTTCCCTAGACAGCAAGGATTATCTGTTTGGAGGGAAGATCAGGTGGCCCTCTCTGGCAGCATGGGCAAGGCAGTCACGGCCAGCAGGGGTAGTGCTGGGAAAGCCAATTGTATGCAGCACAGGCCAATGTTCATGGGCTGTAAAATGTTGGGGGTGGAGGGAGCTACTCAGGTGATCTGGGCACTGACCAGTCAAAAGCAGAAGTTCCAAGCCTGTTGTGGGCAGTGAGGGTGGCACTGGGCAGGCCGATCATGCACAGACAGAGCAGCATACATGGTCCCAGCAGGGGAGGGAGGGACTCAGAGGACCTGGGCGCAGAAGATTATGGGGGATATGTATTTAGGTGGTACACTGGAGGAGAACAGGTAATGTTGAGGTGTAAGAAGCAGGTTCTAGAGGTTGTGGTTGTTGTGGTGTATGCTGGGTATACTAAGTAGTCTAGAGTCCCTTATTGACCCTGTAAATTGTGAATGCAAAATACAGGCCTTTAAGTATTTGTGTTTATAACTAGACTTCTTTATAGTAAGTTGCTGCACACCTCCGAGTTCTCCTCTCCTTATGTACGGTTCAAAAACTAAATTCTTATACTATGCAAACTAGGTAATACATATTTGTATCCACTTGATATTTAACTTCTATTGATCATTTCAAAGGGAATAACTTTCATGTGCTCAGGTCTCTGATTTGATGTTTTCTCAGGAAAGAAAACTTTCAAAAGGAGGAAAGTCTACTGCCAAATAACTCAGCACCTCCTGCAGAACCACAAGATGTGGAAGAAGGTCATCGAAGAAGAGCAGCGGTTGGCAGGTGTGGAAAAGCAAGCCCTGGACCAGCCAGCTCTGCTGCACTCCTCAGACCAGATTCAGGCTATCAGGGAAGAAGAGGAAGAGAAAGGGAAGCAGAAAGCAGAGGAGATCCCAGCTCCACAGCCAAACCAGTGACAATTGGCAGACAGGCCGCGTTTCCAAACAGACTCACTTGTCACAGACTCTTTTCAAGCCAGCACAACACTTAGACACAACACTGTAGAAATATGAGAAGATGGACAAACAGCGATGGCATATTGAGAGTCTTTGCATTTTTTGTGTATCTTTTTACAGTAAGGTACATTGTTTAAACTTACTCAAAGAAGCTTTCACACTGCAACACCAGCTTCTAAATTTTGTGTGTGTTTGTTTTTTTTAAGGAGGAAATATGTGTGTATGTGTGTGTGTGTAAATGCACACGCTAATACATGTAAATCATATGCACACACGTACATGCACACATGCACATATTCAAAAAGCCAGAATCACTGGCCCATAATTTAATAACATTCATATTAAGATATATAATGGTCACTGTGATGTCATAAATCATAAAGGAAAACAAATCACAAAGGAAATGGTGCAGCTTAACCAGGAAACAGTACATCAAATGTAGGTTGCCAACTAGTAGGCAGCTTTTGCCCTTAATACTGAGGGAAGAAAGATCCAGAGCATTATTGGAATTCTGATACATACTGCTAATACTGCCTGTGTAAGTGTGTGTAGCCAGGGATTGAAAGGGTGCTTGTGTGCATGCGTGTTGGTATGAATGTAGAGAGAGAATTTTGTAGTTTTAGTCATTTATAGAATAACTAGCCAATGACTTAGTGCATGTGAACCAAGAGAAGGAAGTTCACTCTGGAGTGTCTTGAAGAGGCAGCCATTCCAAATGCCCTCTTCCAGTGAGCTGCCAAGGAAGATTCCTTTGCAGCTACAGCGTGTCCATGGACTGGTTGAGAGGGCCTGATTGGAAACTACTGCTGTGCACTATTCAGAGGTGCTCTGACCAGCCTCAAACATGGGAAGAAGGCATTGTTCAATCTGTAAGCCCAATGAATGTATAGGAGGAGCACCGTGTCTATGAGTCCGTGTGTCAATCACCTAAGATCAAATCACCATTTTAAGGGATGGCATTCTCTACACATACACAGTTCTAAGAAGATGCTCAAAGCAGGTCCTTTGAGTTGGAATTCTAGATGGTTGCTGGAGAAGGCCGGGCGAGTTATACAGTGATCTTTTATGACTTTTTAAGTTTGCTGGGAAACATGTCAGAGAAAATGAGAAGGAAAGGCAAACAAGTACAGTGTTCAGCTAGGTGGATGGATTTCCTCCAAGGGTTTTGGTCATGGTGGCTTAGTACAAGGCTGACTCTTGACAACGGTTGAAGACTCACTTTGGGAGGTAAAGCTCCCACTGACAGCCTCTGCCTGGTATTCCACATGTGGCGATAGGTCAGTGTCTGCATCTGGCCTGCTGTCCTCTGTCTTTTGGCAGGGAAGGTATCTGGGGGTTGGGCCTCTATCATTGAAAGTAGTTTTTGTGTTGTTTTGCTTGTATGTGTTTTGGGTTTGTTTATCTACACTTGGTTATGCTGTGAGCCAAACCTCTATTTAAAAAGTTGCTACTCACTTTCAATATTTTATTTCACATTATTATATTTGTCATGCATAGCTATCGTGATGTAAATATAAAGATTTTGTTGTTGTCTTTGTAGATAGTAAACTCTAAAAAAAGGGAAACATTTTTATAAAGTTATATTTTAATCACCATTTTTATACATTGTGGCCACCTCCAAGCCCAATAAGACAATGATGATTCATTTGTAGGGTGGTGATGGGCAGCCACTCATCCACCTACTCGAATGATAATCCCATAGAATTGCTGTTTGTTCATTTAATGAGGAAGCTGACAATGATTTTTCATTCGTAACTTTCACTAACTAAAAGAACGTGGTGTCCTTGTCTCCCCGATGTCTTTCTGATCCAGGAGATACAGACTGCCTCTAACCAGGACCCGTCTCTTCCCAACACTCTTTTGTTGTAACTCCCCCTGCAGACCCATGTGTGGCCCTGGGCTTCCACCCCTTCTTAGATTGCTAGTGATTTCACCACTTGATTTCCTCGGACATCATAAGAAGAGTGTTTACATTAAAACTGCTTTTGTTTCTCATAAGTGGATATTGTATTCTTCTGAAGCAATGATTTAACAGGAATCCATGCTATTTTTTCAAACACAATAATAGCACATACAAAGAAAACACTGCTTGAAGGCAATTTCTCAACTATTAGGGCAACTAAGAAAAAGATCAAGTAGACTCAAACACCTACTTAAATGATCAGAATCTATTTCAGTCTTTTTCTGAATAACACCAGGTTTTTGTTATTTCGGATTTATTTTGTTCCTTGCTACTTTCTTAGTATGGTCTGTGGAGTACCCCCTCTCCCCACGCCCTGCTCATTTGTAGATACCAGTGATCGTGGGCCAAATGCATGTCTCCATTGAATTTTCCTCTCACTCTTCCTTTGCAAGTAAGGAAAAAAAATAACCCATCATTTTAACTTACATGGCCCCTTATAGCTGATTACAGAACAATGAATTTCTCTCTCCCAAATCAGCTATGTTTCTGAAATAAATATCAATTGGGAAAGATCAAGTGGTGGTGTGAGTGGGATGATGGAAAATGCAAACTTGAACTGAACGTTTGTCGTTTGTCGATACCGAATCACATTGCGGCAGCTTTTCTCAAAACTCCATGGCCTCAGTAAGAGGCCGCCTAGATGATGGTGTGGCAACCTATGCACACTGCCCGATGTTTGTTTTACTCTGCAGTCCATGGAATGATAGGACTAATAGTCGCCACTGTAATTACAACCTGTTCATTTCAGAATTGTTTTTACCTACCTAGGGAGATTGATAATTACAGCCAGAGGTTATCCTTTGTTGTTTAAATGAGTAGGATAATTGGGGAAAGGATGGGTATTCATCAAGTTGGTTGCATCCCTGCCCATACACAGTGCGTAATGACATACAAAGATCTTTTCTTCTAGTGACATGTTCTTCTCCTCCCAGGTAGCAGTACTGCCACTCCGCAGCTTACTTCCTGTAGAGTCAGTGTAGTCATACAATTTACTACATCTAATATGAGCTGATTTGTAAACATCATTAATTTAACTCAGGTCTTTTGAAAGAAGAGATTTCTAATTCACTTAGGGAAAAGCATATTTGTAGGGGATCTATAAAATCAAAGGAAAGAATGGTTGGAACTGTTTACCTGGATGCCAGTTGATTAGTTTTTTGTTAAGTAAAAGACCAAGTATATTTAGAATGCCATGGACATCATTTTCAGCTTAATAAGAATCCCTTTCCACTTCTCTACCAAAACTAACCTTTAGAATATTGTTTGATTAGTGAAAATACCATTTTCCCTGTTTGTTTTTATCATGAAATCCTTTCCACCCTTCTTCATTTACACCCTCATGTATCTTTGTTGATCTTCAGCTGACAAGTGAAGGAAGTTCCTCCTATTCATTTCAGAAAGTATCCAATTTGCTGAAAACATTATCCATTTTGTCTGTTCTGTATGGACAGAATTTCAGAACAAATTCTGGTCACGGCAGTCACAGTGAGAATGCCGAGAGAGAACGCCACACCATACAGAGTGTCGCTATTCGAATCGCTGAGTGGAAACTGGTGGTTCTCCATTTCCCTGTATCTCTGTCCCTGTTTTCCAGAGAATTTTCATTGAAGGTAAAAGGTGTGCAAAAAGCACGAGACTCAGGCCTAGTCTTTGTTTAAATGTTGGAGAAATATAAATTATTTTCTAAGTAATAAAGATATGCAAATCATCCTTATAAATAAAGCCTAAAGTTTGAAATGCCTGCTTTAAAAAGTGAATGATGTGTGTGATGAACAACTGACTAACACAGGGATGAAGCATTTAGAAGTCACCAATATTTTCCTTTTGAAGGTATTTCTTTCAAGTCGGGCTAGAATCTTCACTATCATTATTTAAAATATGATGAAAATAACCATGGAAGCCACAAGAGTGCTTGTTTAGCCCTTGACTCCTTTTAATGTCTTTCCTGATTTATATATCATGGCATATAAATTGGCAGAAGGCTTCCATAAGCAGAGTTCTGTGAACTTTCATGTTCTAGAGTAGGTCAAGAGTCTCTATTTTCTAAGGATGATCAATTAGGGTGCATGGTGGAAAATTCAGTCAATTGTCATATCAGATAGTTCAAGTTCTGATATGTAAGATCTACATATCTGTACAAGACAAAATCCAACTGCATTTCCTGCGTCCACTCTCACCTCACAGACAGGGAAATAATGTATGTCCTTGCTCTGGTTCCGTCCCTTCTCCCGTGGCTTCATCAGGATGTAACGCTATAAATGGTTGAATCTTGTCATTGCATTTTTCTAGTCAGGTCAGCCAAATTCGAACTTGAGACTTGGAGACCATTTAGGCGTGTTCAGTGAAGAACGATCCAAAAGTAAACTACTCTTAGAATTCCAAATCAGAAAGGAGTTTGCCAATTTTTACATCCTAGATTCATCTGTTTGTTTCTCTAAAAAGTACTCAGATTCTAACTGAAAAGTCAATGGGAGGTGTGAATTAAAGCAAAATCACTGAGTTCAGTAAAAGGCAAACATAACTTAAACTTGAGTTTTCCAGAGAATCTATGTTAATCACGGGTGTAGCATGGTCTGAGAAGAGCCAGAACATTTTCCAGTTTATAGTGAACACCATTGATGCATAGGAATCTGTGTGGTTGCCAAACAGACAGCAAAAGTTACGATAATGGTGCTTTTACTTCTTCTGGATTTAATGTTACATTCATGCTAACAAATCGTTCTAGCATTGGGTTAATAATAGTGACAAAAGGCAATTGGACACTGTCACTAAATATATTTGATGATATAAAACTGAAAATTCAGACTACTTGGTAGCTTTAGATCAACTAATTAAAAAATTCAGATGCTGTGTAAATTATCTTAGGGAAGTTGAGGCTACAAAGTATGAAATAATATATACACACAAAACAAAATTGACTTTTGATACATGATTCAGATTCTAAAGTATGCTTTTAAATCTGATTATTTTGGCAGGCATTGATATCCATAGGTTCCTGATTCTCTAGGGACTCATAGACAACAAAAGACCAACCCTTCTCCTTATTGATAGGAAATACTGAATATATATAGGACTAGATGGATTCCTTCATTACTTCACATCAAGAAATGGTATTTTAATTATGAAAATAATTTTTTCAAAGAGAATAATGCTAAATCACATGTAAGCAGCATTGAGAACATTTAAATTTTATTTATGTTCTTGAATTACAGGTTTTTTACAGTGTGTAATTAAAATAAAATCCATAAAATATAGTTTCATGGTACTGAGATATTAAATAGTTTGCTGTAATCTGAACTAGTGTTAAGCTGTAGAAAACTGGGAAGAAGATTATTTGATATTTCTGATATTAAATATCAAGTCATGCCTTGAAGACGATGTTTCATGAAGGGCCCAATAAATAAATGACAAATAAAAATTATCTTAGTCACAATTTTACTTTGGCTAAATACGAAAAAATATATAATCCAAATCTTTCTGAATTAGCACCCCCTAATGCCCCCTCCTCAAGGAGTGTGTCATCCAGGATTATATCCTGATTTAGGTTGTTGTAAAAAAAGTGATATGTTAGTATTTTTATTTACTAAGTTCCAACACAATTATAACAAGCATTTTACTACTAAAAAAAAATTAAAACTCAGTCATCCTGACATCCAAACATAAATACTATTCACTACACCCTTCTTCCAAGCATGATCAAATGGTAGCTTAGCATTTGAAATCCACAAAGAAAATGAAATATAAATTAATTTGTAAAGCTCTAGTGCTGTAAATTGTTAGTACGTGAAAGTACCTATTACAAAAGAAAGAAAACCCACAGCAGAGAATCGTTTCCTCCTTTCTTTTCCAAGAAGAAACCAAACAACCACAAAAGTCTTAACACAGGAGAAAAGCATGGCTGCTCTTTGTGTTACGTCTGTTATCCAAAATTAGTAAAGGGAATATACAAAGACGTCTTGCCCTCATTCTAAAAGCAAGCCTGTTCCCTCAGATTCCCATTCATCATGCCTGGTTTCATTTGAAACCTTTGCCAGCATGCAGCACAAGGAGCAGGATTGTGGATTCGAAGGGAACCTACATAGAATGGGAAAGACCATCCAGTACATCCCTGCTGCTTGAGGATAAACCAACTTAGTGAATAAGTGGCTCTGGAGTAAAAAGGATTAACAGACAAATGTTTCCACCCAGTCTTTCTTTCCAAAATGAGCATTTATATGTGTTTCTGAATGTGAATTATCCCATGGAGCTCGGCACCTGCTGCTGCAACACCTTTTGAAAGGAACACTGATTTTTCATTCTCGCCATGTTGCACCCTCTAGAGTAGGAGAATAACTCAATATGGTCAATGTGAAACGAAAAGTAAATATTTTAAAATGTTTCTTTGTGTATATAACTTGTGAAATGATCGAATATCTCCCTACATTTCTTTAAAAATTCATAATTGATTATTTTTCCACTAAAAATCATTATATCAGATATTCCAATTTTTATATTAATGAGTGTAATCGAATACTATAAATTTGCTATCTTCAGATAACAACCCTAACATTTATACTGTATATAGATATATGCATTCCTGCTAGTGGGGCTTTAATGGCTTGACTTTTAGTATATATTGGTTAGCTTACAAATCAGAAGTTTTTTATCCTCTTTGTAACATATTTGCATGGGATTTTTACCATAGTAAGTTAGCTTAAATGTTTGTTGAGTTTTGTTTTTTAAGGGTATCCATTTATTTCTTAATATAGTCTCTCACAGAAGAACACGTACCATTTTGTTCAACAAGGACAATGTGTTAGTTGACAAGCACTGGAAATAAATATCATGGAAGACTCTACCCCCAAATATAGCTCTCTAGGGATTTTATCATGCAAATTATAAAATACAAATTGGTGCTTTTAAAATATTTTACAGGTCTCCATGCAACATGACAAATATAAGATTCTCCCTGGTTGCCTATATACTATTGAGACATGCCACTGCAAAAAAGATCTGAATTCAGAGTGTTCATGGTTTAGATTAGTTCATTTGGTTTTGGGTGTTAAACTGCCTTCCCAGTGAAGCAGCCATTCTGACAACGAAATATCATTGGTAACTTTTAATTAACTTATTGACTTTATAAGATATTTGTAAACCAGAGAGTGTTAGAATAACATAATTTAGTGATCACAGAAAGCAATATTTCCAAGCAACTGCCAACCAAAGTGACAGTTTAGATGTTATTTGTATGTGATAATTTTTAGCAATGAAATTTTCACCACTGTCAACAAACTTGAATCCATTTATTCATGGATAGCCTTGAAATTTTTATCAAAGTTTTAGAAAGACTGAAGAGGGAATTGGAATTTAACCTTAGGTGACCGTTTTACAAATGAAATAAATCTTGTCCTTTGACCTTTATCTTGCACTTGATTTATGTGGCAATACTTAATATCATCCCATCACAAGTATTATTTGTTTAGAAGCTTGGTTAATGGCTGATAAATGTTTTATAAAAAGTAGAATCTGTACAGAAAAAATATAGATGAATTGTATTTATTTTTATCATTTTTTAGCTTAGCCATCATAATGATAATCTCTTTTTTGCCAGAATTACTGGAAGTGCCTCTTGGTTTTATAAATAGATGCTAATATTATAGTAAATATATATCCCAAATAATCAGATTTGTGAGTCACCTATGATCAATGTGGATGCTATAATGTGAAGATAATGTAAAAATAAATATAATTCCATGGTATCATGTTTGATGTAGTTATTTATATAACCTTAGTGCTTGAGTTTTGAAGCCATTTTCCCCGTGTCCAAAAATAGTGATGTGGTTCATGAACTTGCTTTGTACTGTGAGACAGTGCTACAATTTCCAAGGATCCTTGTGGCATGGTCATGTATTGGCTGCTAACTGGAAGGTCAGCAGTTCAGAACCTCCAGCTAACTCCTCGGAAAAAAGGTGAGGCTTTCTACTCTCATCTCAGAAACCCAGAGGGCTGGTTCTACCCTGTTCTATAGGGTTGGTGTTATTTGGAATCCACTCAGAGGCAGTCAGTATGGTTGAATGAACCTCTCACAGTGAGTAGATTGCTACTCATAGGCACCCCATATGGGATAGAGTAGAATTGTTCTTTAAGGTCTCAGATGTTTACAGGAGCAGACAGCCTCCTCTTTCTCCCAAGGAGCAGCTTTGTGGTTAGTAGTGCAATGCTTAGCCCACAGAAATGCCAGGATTCCTGTTGTTTGGTGTATGGAATAGATTCTGTTCATAGTGACCCTGTGTACAAGAGAATGAGGCATTACCCAGGCTTGTACCACCCTCACAATTGTGATGTTTGAGCTCTTTATTGCAGACATGGTACCAGTCTATCTTGTGGAAGGTTTTCTACTTCTTCCCTTAGCCACTACCAAGTATGGTGCCCTTTATTAGGGAGTGATGCTCCTGAGAACATATCCAAAGTATCTTGCCTTCCTCCCTGGTAAGCAGTATATGGGCATTGTGCTTCTGGCAGTCTCTAGTATTTCAATATTTGCCAACACCACAATTCAGACGTATCAATGTATCTCCAGTGTTCCTCACGCATTGTCTAGCTTTCACACACACCACTGGTCTTTCAGTTGCATATACTATGGTCGCTTCTGTATTGATGTGAGGCTAGAAACGATGCCAATGGTGTTTCACATACCAGCAGGGTCACCAAAAGTGGATATGTGTGAGCAGAGCTTCCAGACTAAGGACAGACTACACAGAAGAAATAGACTATCCACTTCTGAGGGATTAGCCACTGAAAACCTGATGACTAGCAGTAGAACATTGTTGGCTGTCATGCTAGAAATTAGCTCCTTAGGTCAGAAAGGCATTTAAAACATGCCTGAAGAGCTGCCTTCTCAAAGTAAAGTCAACCATTATGATGCAGCTAGCGCAAAGCTTTATATAAGACCTTCGTTTGCCGAAAGTGCATCATCAAAATGCAAAGAAACAGCCGCAAACACCTATTAATAATCAGAACTTGGAAAGTATGTATGAAGTATGAGTCCAGGAAACTTGGAAGTCATAAAAAACGAAGTGGAATACATAAAGTCAATATCCTACGCATCAGTGAGCTGCAATGGACTGGGTTTACTATGCTGCTAGTGACAAATTCAGGAGGATTGGCATCAGATGCAGCATCAAAAAGGGCATTTCAAGTTCTATTTCTGTGAGCATTGATAATGGGAACAAGAAAATTTAGATCTTTGACTTCAGTATTTTCTTCATTTATCATGTTGTTGTCGATTAGTCTAGTTGTGAGGATTTTTGTTTCCTTTACACTGTGTTATAATCCATATTAACCTTTCAGTCTATAATCTTCATCAGCAAGTGCCCCCAGTCCCCATTTCCAATAAGCATCATCATGTTAAAAGGTGTTAGTAGTTGTCCTCCGATCCCCATGCCACATACTTCTTCATAGTGTCCAGCTTCTCTGATTATTTACTCAGAATGCACATTCAATAAGTATGTGGAAGGATACAAAGCAGACACAAACTTGTCTTGTTGAAATGATTGTCTCTTATTCTACATATAAATTCCACATGAGCACAAGTAAGTGTTCTGGAATTACTATCCTTTGTAATGTTATTAATTGCTTGTTAACCACAATCACTCAAATGCAATAAAGTAACTATCTCTGGTATTTTCTGCTTTGAACAAAGATCCATCTCACATCAGCAATGATCTCCCTTGTTCCGTGTGCTCTTCTAACTGGGACTTGAATGTCTGGCAGCTCCCTGTCAGCATACAGCTGGAACTGTATTTTAAAGTAATTCCTGCAAAATTTTATGTGGCTGTGATATTACAATAATGCTTAGTATTTTACAAATACTGTTGTGTCTCCTCTCGTTGAGATGGGCACAAATATTAATCTCATACTCAATTGCTATCCAAGTTTCTTGACACAACTAGTGAGTGATTGCATCACTGCTTTAGTTTGTTAGAACCTTTCAATGGCCATTCCATCACTTCTTCTGGAGAGGTTCTTTAAATTCAGGTAGGATACACTCAAGGGAATACTTTGGCTCTTCAACTTGTTTTAATTTTCTTTAGCTTCAACTTGAAGACAATTCTTGAGCTTGCATATTATCAATTGATGGTCTGTTACCTCCTGGCCTTTCTTTGGCTGATGAAATTCAGCGTCTTCTTCTTCACTGTTGTTTTCATAGATATAGTAAAATTGACTCCTATGTATTCTATTTGGTGAAGCCCACATTTATAATTGTCATAAACATTGTTGAAAAAAGGTATTTGCCGCAAAGTCTTGCAAAACTGTATCTTGTGATCTCCAGCTTTGTTTCTATACCAAGGCTATATTTCCCAACTAACGATCCTTCCTCTTTGTATCTAAATTTCATATTCGAATGCCCAATTCACCTTCAGACTGAAGAAGTTTGTAGAATTCTTCAATAGCTTCACCACCACCTTTCATAGGTGATGTGTATTTTTGAACAATAATTACATTGACTGGTCTTCCTTGTAGGCATATAAATATTATCCACTCACAGATAGTATTGTCATTCAAGATAGATCATGAAATGTTCTCTTTGATGATGAATGCAGTCATTCCTCTTAAATTTTTCATTCTTGGCATAGTAAACTCAAATGGTCAAGACCAGTCCGTGTCAGCCCACTGTTGCCTGGGATGTTTACCTTTGTGCATTTCATTTTGTGGGAAAGACCTGGCAATCTACTTCGCCGACAACATCTCACAGGTTCTGAACCTTCTGGTGTTGCACCCTACCTCGTTTTCAACCAGCAGGAACCCAGGACTTCTTCTCAGACTTTAAAATATTGTAAATGTTACTACATCTCTTCTGGTTCCAACTAGGAAAAATCCGTTTTTATGGATTCGTGTTATTTCATAGATCCCAAATTACCTAGAATAATCATCCTATTTTAAGAACTGTAAAGAACTTATTTAATGTGCCTGAAGGCAAAGATGTCATTTTGATGACTTCGCTGCATCTGGCTCAAGCCTTGGCCTGTTCTATTATCTTGTATGCAAGCGAAAGTTGGACAAACAAAAGGAAAACTGAAGTACATTTGAATTGTAGCATTGGCAAAAAATTGGTCATTGAGTCAATTATTAGTCATATCATCTCAATAGAGTGTTTCTGAGACTGTAAATCTTTATAGGAATATGCAGTCTCATTTTTGTCAGTATTGTCAAAAGATATTGCAATAGCATGCACTACTAGAAAATGGACAAATCAATCTTGAGGAAGTACAGCCAGAAAGCTCCTTAGAAAGGAAGATGACAAGACTTCACCTGGCTTACCTTGGACATGTCATCAGATGTCCATCACTTCGATAATGCCAGTTAGTCTAGAAAAGGATGCCAGGTTTGAGATAGGGTTCTCAAAGATGAGGGCAAGCTGTCATGAAATGGATTGACATGGGCTGCAGTAATGAGCTCAAGCATAGGACAGATTGTGAGAATAACAGAGGACTGCGCAATGTTTTGTTCTGTTATACAAAAGGTTCCCATGAGTCAAAGGTGATTCTACACTAACAACTTCACTTACACTTTAATGGGTTCATCTCACTAGGAAAGCAAAATGTGAGCAAAGATAGAGAAGGGACAGAGCTGTTTGAGGAGAGTGAAAATTGAGGATATGAAATTTTGGAGATGTTTTGGGATACAAAAGAGCCCCAATCTCATATATAACTTAAGGAGAACATTTATTAAGTCTTAAGAGGAGCAAAGACTTAGACACATCATGTGGATGAGGAAGGCCATCAGCACGAGGTCATAATGGCATATAAGGACTCATACTTAGGATACTAATTAATGGGGCATGGCACAAAGGAAACAATTGCAAAATCATGACTGGTGGCAGATCAATACATCACAGTTACAAGTGGGGCTACAGAAGCAGGAACAAGACCATGATAGAGACACAGGCATCATATTAGACAAAAGAGTTTACAAAACTTGTCCAGGGCCTTTTGACCACAGCAGTCAGGACACAACTGATAGGGTATGACTTATGAGGACCCAAAGTACTCTCCATCAAGGACATACACAAGCAAGTCCCAAAGGGAGACTGCCCTTCCCAGAGCTAGATTGAGAGTGATGGAAGTAATCTACTTTCCATAGCACTCAACTTGAGGGCAACTTTATCTGCATCCTTGCTTAATGATTAGACAAAATACAGTGGAGCCTTGATCTACTCTCCATTCAAAAACAAAACCATAAAATGCACTGCCATTGAGTCGATGCTGACTCATCGCGATCTCCTGTGGATTTCCAAGACTGTAACTCTTTATGGGAATAGAAAGCCCAGTCTTGCTCCCGAAGTGTTGCCGATGGTTTCGAACTGCTCACCATGCGGAGTACAGCCCAATGAGTAACCACTACATCCCCAAGGCTCCTCACTCTCCACTCAAGGGAATCTGCAAACAGATTTTGGGCTCGCCTTGCCATCCATACCCTTCTGCAAACAGTCTGCTGAGAATTTAAGTTCTAATACAGAATTTATGATTTATGGGGCACACTTGGGTCACAGATATAAATTTGAGATTCCTCCACTAACAGCTGTCATTTCTTTTTTAAAAAAATCATTTTATTAGGGGCTCATACTACTCTTATCACAATCCATACACACATCAATTGTGTAAAGCACATTTGTACAGTCATAGCCCTCATCATTCTCAAAACATTTCCTCTCCACTTAAACCCCCGGTATTAGGTCCTCATTTTTCCCCTCCCTCCC